ACCAAAAAGAACTCTCAAGATTGCTTGTCCACTGAATTGTAAAACATACAAAGATGATACAAGATCTTCGACTATCTCTATATGAATGGCTTGATCTATAGGATTTCGTATGAAACTTTAAGTCCCTCGTGTGACTTAATAGCAAATCCAAGTAAGTTGTTTATTTATTTATTGATATTATACATTGTATTATTTTTTTGTATTGGGACTAACAAGGTAGAGATGCAAGAGATAGGGTTGGAGGAGAGAGATGAGATATATAAGTAAAAGAGGGTATAGAAAGAGGTCTAAGAGAGAGAAGAGGTATTCAAAGATACATGAGATAGAGTAGAAATCATGAATTAAGGAAAAGATGAGATAAAAAAATGGAAAGATAAAGAAGAGTATTTTCTTGTTTGGTCATGCCAATCATCTCATATCTTGACTAACTGTTTTTCTTTTTTTAGCAAATTATGTACGGATACTATTGGGGAGGGGGAATCAATTACCAAATTAGCACTCATTTGCCCGAATTTACGAGCACCCCCACCAACCCACGACTATTTTTTTTCCTAAGTTAACCCGTGTCCGGCAATGCAAACACCGGACAAGGGCATTCGTTTTAAAACAATGTATGTTTGGGCTTTCAAAACCCTGCGAGCTCCATTTCTTCAATTTTCTACTCATTTCTTTGTTGCTTAAGCTTGTTTTGGGAGGTGAGGGCTCAGTTGAAGAATGCCATGAAGAGCGGCAGTGAGAGAAAGAAAGAGCATAAATTGATCGATGGAGAAAGAAAGAGAAAGCTCGAGTTTTTCTGATGCTAAACCTTAATCCCTTTCTCATCATAGAACCCTAGTCTTAGGTTCCCATGGCATTGTTCTAATAAAACTCATTTCCCATCGAGGAAAAACTAAAACGACATAGAAACACACAAAGAAAGCCCAATTATCCGGCATTAAACCTATCAAAGATTGCAATTCGTCACAAAAGAAATGAGGCTCAAATCGAATCATTTAACTCATTTTTGAGTTTTGATTCCACAAGAAACTCATTTACGGGCCAAAATCCTTAACCCCTATTGTTTATTTAGATTTAGAAGGGCGAGAGAGAGAGAGGCGATTTAGTAAAAGTGTAGAGAGAGTAAAATGATTGGTGGCCTGGGAGAAAATATTGTTCAGCAATGCAAATGCTGGACAGCTTTGAAGAGTAAAGGAAAAACCTCATATCCAGTGTTTACATTACCAAAACAAGAGGGCAATTACCATACCGTTCATGTGCTAAATGTATCCTCAACTTTTGAACAAATGGTTGAGACTATTTGTATACACTAGATTGTAAAAAGACAATAAGATTATTTTCTTACTTCATATTTGGTAAGTGCTCTCATAGTATATAAAAAAAACTTATATAAAAAAAGACGTTTGTGTTAAACTCAGATAACTTTTAGCCATTAGATGTGAAACCAACACTTTGTGTTGTGAGTTGTGACATTAACATCAATTAAAACTCAAAAAAAAAAAAAGTTGTGACGTACACATATCCCCTTGATATTGCTTTTGACTAATAAGACTTATTATGACATTCTCACACCGCAGATAAATAGTTTTACAATATACAAATCCATCATAGAGATTATATAAATCACAATTTCTTGCACAAAACCATGTCAACATCTACATGAGTGTTCGAAAATTTGAACTGGCCTTAGAACCAGATAACGGCTGATCTAAACCAGTTTTGGCATGTTTACTGTTTTTCCAGACGTTTTTTTCGTCGATTCACTATTTTTACTCACAGTAAAACAGCGATCCGATCGGGTCAGGTTTTTGGGGTGCCCATTCCTGTCGCCAATCCATTTTTTAAAGTTACAGATG